CTGGAACCCTGGCACCCCTTCCTCCCCGTCCATTGCTCTGGTGGTCGGTCAGGTTTCCTCTTCTCTGGGTCTGAGAAAAGGTCATGTGGTGACAATGAAGGGGGCTTGCTGAGTGACAGGATAAGGGCCCAAACAGGACCAGGAAGCTGGTCAGGCTAAAAACCACTATTTGCATCTCTGGGTGTTCTTTATTTGTACTCATTAGTCACTTTCTTTGTCTTGACTTCCAGGAAGCTCAAAGCTAAATGACCCTGGTTTTCTGACACTTTCTCTATTACAGGGCCCTGCTTCTTTCCTGATCCCTATTTTGCCACGCAATAAATAGGCAGCCTTCTCTGATTTGTGGGAGGGCAGGTCACAAAAGATGCACTGTGCATCTTGATAGAGCAAAACAGCAAAAAAGTAAAAATGCCAAGACTCATTCACTGCTGGTGAGCATGCAGTTTAAAAATGACACATATAGCCAGTGGTTGTACAGATTATAACCCTTTGAAAAATCAGCCTGGTAGAGGATGGGCATGCAGGTTTGAGTCACTGCCGGGGTTCAAGGCTTCAGTCTGCCGGTCACCACCCATGGCCTGGGGCAAGTTATTTAAACTTATGGTTTCTTCATATTTAAAANAAAAAAAATAAAAGATGGGGGAACTAAAACCCACCCAATTTGTCCACTGGTCTCCAGGTCCCATCAGGGAGGGTGCTGTGAAGGGGATTTTTGCATTAGCTAGAAGGCTGGACCACATGCCTCCAAGGCTCTGGAGTAGACCCTCTGGGGCACCTGCCCAGCCATGTCCTTTTCTGTGAGAAGTGCCCCCTCAACAGCAGTCACAGCTGACCGGGCCAGGAGTTGAGTGCCTGGACTTTGCTGGCTGATCAGATTCTCTCCAGACACTATACAGCCCAAACCCAGAAGGTCACAGTGGCTCTGGCCGCCTCAGAGGATGCCACATGAGGGCACAGGCAAGTGGAGGGAAGTAGCCTGCATGAATCTGTGGCACGAAACCAAAACCAAATGTATCTGAGCCAAAGCTCTTGTGTCCTTTCCCAAGCCCGGGTCTCGCCCCCTTCAATCTCCCCCTCCCAGGCAGGCAAGGCCTCTCCCCAGCTCCCTGCCGCCCCCACCCCCGCAAACACTAGGGCAGCTGGAGGCCTCATTGGTCCAGGCAGTTGGTCCAACAACCTCTGCACCCCTTCGAGATCTGGGTGACAGCCCAGCCCTCACAGGGACGGCGACGTCGCACCTGATGAGCACAGGTGTGTAGAGCAGGGCCGCAATGGGCGTCACGTTGATGCCCATCAGCATCTTGCTGTCGATGTCGGGTAGCCCCATGTTGCCGTACTTCACCTCGCGGTAGGTCTCGTCGTAGTGCAGGATCAGCTGCATTTGCAGGAGGCCTGGGGACAGGGAGCGGGTATGGAGGGAACAGCCTGGCTCTGCGGGCGACCAAGCAGCGGCCGGGACGCAAGCCTCGCGGGGAGCTCCAGTCGCCAAAAGGACCCGATTCCAACGCCCGCAAGGACACAGGGGGGACCCCGGGCTGCGCCAAGCATTCAGCCAGCTGGTGGCAGCCTCGGGGACTTGAAGCCAGAC